CAATTACAAACACATAAATACATGTACTCAATTTCCATGTCTGTAATTACCTGGAGGCCACTTTGCCTCTTGCCAGCCAAGGACAAAACACCACTGGCAACTGTGCAAGTGATGCAACTCACTGCATGACAAATGCTACGGGGCAGGCTTGTCCAGCAAACCTCTCCTGGAAATCTCCTCTCTGGGTTAGGGCCACACTGCAACGCTTTCCCAGCACTTCTGGGGAAAATCCCCCTCCACAGAGACACAGCTACCCCACAGCCTGTCTTTCTGCTGACAGGCACAGGGCTCCACAGCCCTTTCTGCAGAGCAGGGACCTTACTGAAGCCTGTCAGCTGGGCAGTCAGATAGCATTTTGCTGCAGAAGGGAGGCAGAGCTGTGCTGCCAGGCCTTCAGGAGCCACACACATCATCACACTGCTCTGCCAAGCAGTGTCCCCCCATCTCTGCACACCCCTCCCCGACACGTCTGCCCAGATGCAGACTCTCTCTGTGCCAGCATCTCTGCCACCAGAGCTTTCAAAAGGGTCTGCTTAGTCCTGTTTTGCTGTAAAAGACCAAAAAGTGTTCAAATCCCACCCCCCACTTCTGTTTTCTTAACAAGCAGCAGCTCCAAATACCATGGGGGCAGGCAGCATGCTTTGCAACCCGACTCTTCCCCTGGCTTTCTAGGGTCTGTTTCACCAAAACTTCCCCCAAAAATTAAACACAACCAATGACAAAGAATATAAAGTCCAAATGGCCAAATCCCACCTGCCATAGAGTCTGAATGTGACTGTAAGGAAGGGGCTAAGGTGGGGCTGGCAGTGTTTCTCACCAAGCACGGGGCCATGCGTGCTGACAGAGAGAAGATGGGACCCTACATCTCTGCAATAAATGTAACATGAACATTTCATACCCATGAAACATCCACCCTGTTAAATGTCAGACAGCTGCCCTGCAAGCATGGCTGGAGGGGCTACACAAGTGCTGCTGAGGTAAATGAAAAAAGAACCCATAAAGCAGTGGTAGGTAATTTTTGAAGACTGTTGATTGTGGTTAAAAATGACTTTCATAATCACTTGGGAGAGTTATGGCAGGGAACAGCAAAGAACTTTGATCATGTCTGTAAAAATAAATAATCTGAATTGGTTAAATAAAATCCAGGCATGAGAAGACAATTTACTGACTGTGAATTTCTAAAAGCCAGGGGATTAGTCAAAGATAACTCTCATTTACCAAATGTGTTTAACAGAAGTACTTGCAGAAGATTGTTATGTGATACACTAATTGTGTATTTTATTTTGAAAATTGAATATGGAGATGTTATTAAGAAAAAAGTACAGCCCACAATAGGAACTGTCAGCTCTGCCAAGCAAAACTAAAATAGGTTCCCCCTTCTGTTCTTCAAACAGTTGTTTGCAATATGAACCAGTGAACAATCTGAGCTTTTCTCAAGGCTTTTTTTTTTTTTTTCTAAAGTCCAAGGCAGGGAAGTAAATCTCAGCTCTCTCCTGGATGAGACTCAAGACACGCACCAGCTCTAGCAGCTTATCTGGTTTCATGGAGCAAATCCTAGTGCAAAAGCCTGGCCTGTGCAATTAGGTGAGGCATGCTGCTGCCTCGGGAAGCAGGGGGAGATGGGGCCTGAGCCCTCACCCCATCACTGCTGGGTGAGCCTGCACACATGACAGGGACTGAGGGAGCTCCAAGGGACTGTCTTCCACCCAGCTATTTGTCCTGCTCAATCAGCCTCTTGGCAGCAGCTAACCCAGTGGAGAGCCTGCCTTGGCTGCACAGGGAGGTGGGACTGCAGCAGCCACGGGCTGCATTAACCTCAGCCTCCTTTCACTGCCAAGGCTGGCAGAGCTAGGACTTCAAAAACTCAATAACCCCTTGGACATTTTCTGTGCATAGGGTGAGCCTCAGAAGGACAAAGCAAGCCAGCTACCAGCCCACAGATGTCAGAAATACCTTTCCTTACCCAACACTCAGGCTTTGACACAATTTTTTCCTGCTATTAAGTGCTCCTTTCCCCTGCCACAACTCCATTGTGGTCACGGCACAGGGAAGCACCAAGCAGCAGGAACAGAGCTGGCAGAGCTGGAGGGCAGCACATGCAGAACACAAATTCATATTGCAGTTGCTCACAGGAAAGCAATACCAAGACTATAACACAACCAGGAACCAAAATAAAATATAAAATAACACAGACAATATGTACTCCTGCTCTGCTCACACATATGAACAGCAGGAAAAGAAACAACTGGCATGTGCAATCTCTTCTTCCAGAAATCAAGCTCCTCATGAACTGCAGGCCTGGAAGTTTAAGTGGCTGAGCACTTCATTCAGGTGACAGCCAGCCCCTTTTAGTCTTCATCAGCAGATATCCAGAGAGCTAACTCATAGACATAAAGCAAATCTACTTAGGGAATAAATGTCTAAATAAATATGAGAGATGGGATGCTGATTTTTAATGTTCCTCTGCAGGGTAAATAAAATTATGGGGGTTTTTTCACTTCAATTCATTTATGCTATTTGTTTATTACTGCATGATGAAAAGGCTCAGCATGCCTATGGCTTACCAGGTCTTCCCTCTGTCCTGGAGCATGAGCTGAGCACTACAGAGAGGGCAGGTGTGCCCACAGAGCCATGGTCATCCTCAGATGGGGACACAGACAACCCAGGGCTGCACCAGCCTCCATCTGAAGCTTTTTTGGTGGAAGAAGAGGGCAATTACTGAAACAGAGCCTGAAACCCTGGAGCAGGCTGAAGGAGCATGACGTTGCACGGCAAGTTCACCATATTCAAGTCTGAGAGAGACAAACAGCCCTTCTCTTAGTTATGTCCCATCTGCCACCTTCATTTGGCCATTAAAACCATTTTTAATATGATAAAAGGAGTAATACTGCCTGACTAATGAACGTCGAATTATCGGCGTAAATGTGCCAACATTTATTTATTTATTTGCCTCACCGAGAACATGTTCTCTTCTGTTTGGTTTTCTACTTTAATGACTACAATTTATCATACTAACTAGGCCTTCCAGTTTGCTGAGTTTTGTTTCAAGTTCTGCTTTTTTGCTGAGACATCTGTGAGGGAGCAGATGCAGGTAAGAGAAGTAATAAAGCTAATAAAAAAAAGCAATAGTAGCTGTCACCAAAAAGCACAGGTGACCAAACCGCCTTCATTTACTCAACAGGGCCTTTCCTTCTTGCTGCCATTTGATGATTTTACTGCCTTCTTTCCACCAATATTTTACACTGCTCATGGCAGCCCTCTGAGAGGAACGCTAATTCCTAATTTCCAAGTAATTTGCTTTCCCTGCCTCCCAGCAGGCAGCAAAAGGAGGAAGGAAAGCTGAAGCGGAAGGACGCGAATTCGAGTTCTGCGATGAATTTGAGCCATGCACCATGGCCCAAGTCAGGGGTTTCAGGAGGCATCTGAAGCTGCAGAGCTGGCTCAGTCAGAGAAAGGATCCTGACCTCCCAGAAGGAGGATCTGCCACCTGTCCCACACGTGGGGGAACACTGCTCCAGCTGCACCGGGGCTGGATCTATTTCAGAGCAAAAGCAAATGTGTTTTCCCCACCTGTCACAACTGTGAAATGTATGGATAGCGTTTACTTCCGAGGCATTCATCACTCAAATTAACAGGCAATCTGTTAGTCTGAGTGCAATTAGCACCCCAAACTTCACTCCAGACATGTCTGGTAGCTGAATTTTGCTCACAGATCCTTCAGCAGCATGGTGTTCACTTTGAGTAAATATATGCCAATGTAGGGAGTGGCAAGGCTGTGAAATCCCCAACAAATTCAATGTGAAGCAAAGCTAAACACGCTGCTGGAGACTTGGCTTTGCCTTTGCTAGAAACTGTGATGGAAAGTTCACAGTTTTACAGGCTGAAATTGAGCACTCAGCTCACCTGAGACACAGCAAATGGAATGAGTGAGTGTAACCCAGCCAGCTGGGGCTGCCTCCCACTGCCTCTTCCTGCTGCCGGATTTCAACTCCACCGCTCCTGCCACGTGAACGTGCCCCTTACACACAGACACACATCCTGGAACATGACTTCAGCATTTTTAAGAGGTACAGGCGGGCAATATGAGCAGTGTAAACACTTATCTGTGTCATGGAGAGTGCAATCACAGCACAGAGCACAGTCACACCGGCACAGGCTGCCTGTTCTACCCTGGCCCTCAGACCTGCCTTCCATATTACAGCCACATCATCTGCAGCATCTTCAGATGCCCACCTGGATCACTCCTTTAGTGGGATATTTCTTTAAATATAAAGAATGTGAAATGCCATATAACAATGGACTTAAGTTCCTTGAACTCGATGTCCACCTCTCTCTTTTGTGGTTGCCAACATGGCAATAGGCTATCTGCAAACCACACTGAAATGTTCCTTCACAAATGCAAAACTCGATGTAAAGAGGACTGAGGGAATGCACAACCCAGGCTTCCCAAAAGCAGTACAGCTTTCATCTATCACAGACTTCCCCTGGATGCTGGAGATTGTTAGGCTCATAGCTCCAGTCTCATACCCGAAGAATGTTCATCACAGCAATCACTTTTTTTTCTTTTTCTTAAATGCTGCACCAACATTGCCCAGAGCTCTTCCCTTGCTTAGTCTAAAAATCTGTCCATACCTAGCATTTTATTAGGATTAGCTTCTCCAGTCCTCCAATGCTTATCTGCATGATTCTCTGATCTTCCCAACCCCTCCTAACCCGCCCTGTACCTGCTGGCAGCACAAGTGACAGACCTGCCAGGTGTCACCTTCCAGTGTCACAGCTTTCTCCCCCATTTCTCCCTGGATCAATCTAAATGACTCACACTCACAGCACCTGTCACAGCAATGACATTGCTCTTGCTCTGTGCACATCCCTGGCATTTTATCATCCTCTTCCACCACAGTGGAGCTGGTGAGAGAGATGCCTGGTCTTTTCCAGCCCAGCACCCGTCGCTGCTCCCCCAAAGGCAGAAGCAGAGGGAAGGAGAAGAGCAGCCTGCTTACCCTCAGGAAGGAGAGGTCTCTGTTGTGCTCGATGCTGGTGATCTCCAGGTTGCCCATCACTACCTCACAGTTCTCATAGTACTTGCGCAGGGCCCGGTACTGCTGCTCCAGGTCAGAGAGGGAGCTCAGCTTGTTCTCGGTGCCGGCACACACTGCAAAAAAAAAAAACACCCCACAGCACAATCAGTCAGGCCAGTGTGGAAGAGGAGCACTGGAGCACATAAAGAAAGAAATACAGTCTGTACACAGTGATACAGGGAGCTGCAACAAAAATCTGTGATGATTCAAAGGACTTGGTCACTCAAGTCACGCTTGAATACCAGCAGAAGAGACAGGAAAGTAAAAATACAGCCTGCGGTCATCTCAGCAATTTAAACACCTCTCACCAAATGGGCTGAAGTACATATTCACCACCAAATGCAGAAAGTTTGAAAAGGCAGAAATGCAGGAAAAAGGCCAAGCAGGTTGACCTCAGCAGCCAAAGGGTCAAACCCAGGTCTCAGCAAACCCCTACCAGTTCTACCAGTGACAGAATCAGACGCTGGGCAGAGGCACTCCCATCACAGGCTGAAGGACACAAGGCTGCAGAGACCTGTGCATCCAAGGTGACCTGCATAATCCAACATTTTCAATATTCTCAATAGTATTTTGGACAAGCCAAGAGCAACCTGAGCAGAAGACTTAAACCCAACATTGTTTTCCTTATCACTTTCCTTAAGACCCCAGCTCTTCCCGGCTTTATAAAATTAAATAGGACAAAACCAGCAAAAAACACAATGTCTTTCCACAAGTCCCCAGGCTGAATGCACAGCGAAGGTATGTCAGGAAATACCATCTTAATACAGTTTTCAAAGGACAACCTTTAATATTACACCACTCTGTTCTACTTTTTGAAGCCCAGTAAAAAGCCAGCACAGAATCCCAGCTCAGCTCAGTGCATCAGCCTGTTGTCATCATGCAATGACAAAAAAAATAAATGTAAAAAAAAAAGAGAGAGAGAGAGAGAAACAAATACAGAAACAGCATTTTACATGATCAGCTTTTCACACATTGCTCAGCCTGCCCAGACAGCGATGCTGCTTAAATGGTCAAGTGTGGGGTTGGGCTGGTTTTGGTTTGTCTGCTTCAATGCACTTACTTTTCTTCTTAATCAGCATCTTGTGGGTTGTTCTTATCTGTGAGCAAATTAATCTGGGTATATCTAAATTTTGAAATGGGCATTATATTACTCAAAACAGGAGCCTGACAAGAATGGCATTTCTGGAGCCAATCCCTCTCCTGGATCAGATCGATACAAACAAAACTCTCCATGACTGGAGGCATAATCAGTAAAATTGGCTAAAATATACTCTTTTGAATGATGCAGGTCCTTTTTATAAATACCAAAAGTAATTAGGTTTCAGAGTACTACAATTATTGACTGTTTATTTACACCATCTCCCCTTTCTTTTTTCTCAGTAGAAATGGGAACAATTCTGATCTCTGTTCCCTCTGTGGCCTCTCTGCTGCAGAACTATTTGCTCTTGTGCCATGACTCCCACGGGGAGAGCAGGCATGGGCTGGTTTCTTCACAAACCATCCACAGGGTGAAGAGTTGATCAAATCATTTTTGGGTTCTGGGGGGCTAAAGAGCACGGATCAAAGCTGAACACACACTGCAAGAGCTGCTTCTCCAAACAGGCATTGGGTCTACCCACCACAGGAAATGCTGGAATATTATTTCTTTCTATCACCTGGTAAAAGTAAAATTTCAAAGTTCTTGCCACAGTTAAAAATTTCAAATGTTAGACCTATGTTCACTGTACTGTGCTGAAGAAAAACAGAACAACATGGTTTGCTCAAGTTTTAAAATAGAAGCTAGCACATCATTTTGAGGCTTATCTTAAAAGCATGAACATTCCAATTTTTAGATTTTCTGTAAAACCTTACCACTTGGAGTAAATCATACCTAAACACCACTTTAGTCATAATATTTTTAACAGCTATTTTGGGAGATTCCCAAGATGGAAAGCCACCGTCATATTGGGACCTCACGTAGCTCTGGTGGACTGGGAACACTGGAAGGATTAAGCACTGCAACTAGGAGATGGCACATCTTCCTTTTTTGAAATACAAAGCCCTGTCCTAGCTCATGTATACAGTTTTATTCAGAAAACCCTCAAGACCTGCCCTTGTGTGCCAACTCTTCAGGGATGTCACATGTCTCTGCCTGCCAGGATACCTAAAAATTCTTGCTTAGCAATTACAAAATGGGTTTGTGTGTTTCTTCCTTAAATATAGCAGTATCTATTACCAGACTGATCAGATTTCCAGCCAGGTAAGTATTCTGTCTTAAGGCTCCCAAGGACTAATAAATACCTTCCTTTCCATTTTGCAATCCATGCTAAGGACCAACACAGCTCAGAAAACAATTCCTGCAGCTCAGCTAATAAAGCTACATACTGCAACACTGCTATTCCATGCTGCACACCCATTAAACGTTTCCTGAAAGCTAATGCAGCCATTTGTTTGCTGTGAGGAGGCAGAAACACCTGGAGCCTGTTCTTGCAAGAGGATTCAGCCAGCCCAGATGTGAAGCAGGGCTATGACTTTTATTTGACTGAGATTAATTTTGTACAGCCAAACCACTGCAATAACTAGTCCCAGTTTTTGATATGGCTATTAATCAATTATTTTGGATTAAAAAAACCCACAAACTTTAAAGCTAATTTAGAATAAATCATGCTTATCCTTTAAATTCATTTCACAGCAATTGCAAACACTTAATGTCTGTCTTAAAAAGAGAAATTTCCTTCAACAAAAATTGGTCACAGATTGCCTCAAATCAAGACAGGTACCAAAAGTGATTCTCCTACATCAGCTGAGGGCTGCAGAAGTGCACATTTTCTTCCATTGGTACCCAACCAGCAGTGCAAGTTGATGCAGAAACAGAACTCAGAGCAGGAAAGAGCTTTGACCTGCACAACAAGCTGAAGTCACAAAGCAAATGTGGGTATAATGATGGATCATTAATAATCCGTTATTACAATGCCATGAATCTCCTCAGTTTTGCAATGTATGCTCTTGATGCACCTAATAATTATGTCACATTCGAAATACAAAGAGGAAACTATCCCAGTATTTAAGAAAAGTAGGTTGGGTCCTTCACTTGAAGGAGGAAGGGCTGGGACCTCCCATCCTTTGCAGAGAATCCTTTAAAACAGAGAGATAAGATATGCTCATGGCAGGTTTTTCAAGGCAAATAACAGCCAGTGGGGTAAAAAGGCATTCCTGCCAAGAGAGGGAAATGCTGCAGCCATGGACCATCACAGAGGTGCTCCTGTTGGCCCTCTGATGCCAGAGAGCCAAACCTGGGAGGGACCCAGGCCAGGAAGCAGGCTGTGAACTGGTACTTTTTTAAAGTTTCATGCCCCATTTTGAGCCACATGAGCCAATTCCCAGCTGCTCCAGAGTAGAAATAATTGTTCTGGGTCGGATTTGCCAAGGTAGTTAAAAAGCACTAAAGTAATTGCATGTGAAGTGGGAGCTGAGCTGGAGTCACACAGGATTCCCTGAGCTCAACACAGAACAGGAACACACCCCACTCACCTCCTGCTCCTCTCCTGGAACAGCAACAGGCATCTATGTGTTGTAGCAGCTTTTTAAAATTAAGTGCCAACATAATAAGTATTTGCAGGGATGCTCCAGATGTATACAGGCATAAACACAAGCACAACAAAATGTATTTCCTTGTCACACCATGCAAAACCACTGAAATCTGTATCTCATGAACCCTCTTCAAAGCACTTTGTTGTATATTGTTAGATTTGTTGTTTAATACAGACCCAGAAATGGATGAGCAGCAAAAAATATCAAGGTTGTGTGCTTTAACTGTTCCTGCAGCAGAACCTCTGCTGATTAATAAAAAATACTCATTCCCTGTCTCTAACACAGGGCAAAGAGAAGCAGCTTTAGATGTGCCTCCAGTCTGAAGCTGCTCTTGTTATTGAGCATCCCTGGTCACATATTCTCTGCCTTGCTTGGGGGAACCTTTCCAGGGGCATTTCCATGAGGGAAACCCTCCAGCTCTTTCAATGCACATCCAGCAAAATCAGATTTCCCCTACATTTTGCCCAAATTTGGGGGGAAGCTTCAGTCTGACCTGGTTTACTGACATGCCACCAACCTCTCAAACCCATCTCTCCACCTCAACATGCTCAGCCATTCCTGCTCCTCCCATGTTCTGACAAAAAACCTCACAGAGTGTTGATGTGCAGAGTCACCCACCACTAAGGTCATCCCAAAGCTCAAGGAGATGCCTCTTCCATCCTGGAAGGCCCAAACCTGCAGTGATGGCAACAAGCCAGTGGCCACTTCTCACCTGCAGCCCAGTCATGGGGGATTTTGGGTGGGTGCTGGAGCAGAGCACAGCTTGGTCATCACAAAAGTGGATTTTAGGCATTACTCACACATTCACACTTCACATTCAGTTATTTACTTATTAGCAGCTACCTAAAGTGACAGAGTTTCAGCTCTTAATGGCCCCAATTACAACAGTAATAATCATCTGTATTGAAATGAACTTTTGTTTTTCATCAATATTCATGCACATGACTTGGAAATTAATTTTCCATTGACACTTTTTCATAAAACAGCCAAATCATTCAAACGCTCACTTAAAGGTGGCAAATAATGGAGACATTTAAAAATCTGTTAGATTCTACTTTTCAGCCCATTATTTCACTCTGCTCTGTTGATGATAAATCCATATGTTAAATTAAGAAATCACACTTGCCTCCATCTAGTACTGCTTCTTCTAATACTAATGGATTTTATAATCCTCCTAGCTCAACTTTTGGAAGGAGATCAACTTGCTTCATTTCTTATTCAACCCCTTTCCAGATCAGCCTGTATCTGGAGTACTAAAGAGTGGAATCCATTATCTCCACCACAGTCACCCCCACCTGAAACCCCAATAGATCCTCTTCCAAGGCACACTCAAAGAAGCAGTGATGAGGCATCCTGGTGGCTAACTCCAAGGGAGCTATCTCAAGCACCTCAATATATTTTCCTCTGAATCATAAAACATTTATTATTTTCTCTTTGGCAAGGATGCAGAAGAGCAGTGCCCTTGCCCTGCCCCAGCCTCTGCCTGAAGGCAGCACAACCTC